TGCAGACTGGTGCAGCCACTGTGGAGAACAGTATGGAGCTACCTCAGAAGACTAAAAATGGAACTCCCATTTGACCCAGTGATCCCACTACTAGGAATATATCCCAAGAAACCAGAAACGCCAATCAGAAAGGATATATGCACCCCTATGTTTATAGCAGCACAATTCACCATAGCTAAGATTTGGAAACAGCCTAAGTGCCCATCAGCAGATGAGTGGATTAGAAAACTGTGGTACATATACACAATGGAATACTATGCTGCGGTAAAAAAAAAGGAACTCTTGCCTTTTGCAACAGCATGGATGGAACTGGAGAGCATTATGCTAAGTGAAATAAGCCAGTCAGAGAAAGATAAATACCACATGATCTCACTCATTTGTGGATTATAGAGAACAACATAGACTGATGAAAAGGGACAGACCCAAAGACTGAGAAACAGCAATCAGGCTATCAATCCCCAGAAGGAAAGTAGGGGAGGGCGGGAGTAAGGGGAAGAGATCAACCGAAGGACTTGTATACATGTATATAAGCCAAACCAATGGACATGGACAACAGGGGGATGGGAGCATGAGTTTGTGTGTGGGGGGGAGGTTGGGGGTTAATGGGGGGGATGAGGACACATTTGTAATACCTTAACTAATAATAAAAAAATAAATAAATAAATAAATAAAATAAAGATTATGGTCCCAGAAAATCCTATATAATAAAGAGGAAATATGCAAATTAACCCTCACACCCTCACAAGATGGCTGCCTATGACCAGTCCAGCAGGGGGGTCAGTTAGGGACAACCAAACGACTGAACAAGCAGACTGCATGGGGCTACCAGGCCGGTGGGGTGGGCTGTGGGGGGCAACCAGGACAGCAGGGGAGGGCTCAGTTGGGATTCGGAGCCAGCGGTCCAGGATTGTGAAAGGGATCCCGGATTGGAGAGGGTGCAGGCTGGGCTGAGGGGACCCCCTTTTCCCCCGAATTTCATGCACCAGGCCTCTAGTTAAAACATAAAAGCAACACACACACACACACACACACACACACATACACACACACACACACATACCCCACTTCAGAAAAGGATGAACTAGGCTGATGATCCAGACTGGACACACAGACCCATAATTTCCAACCAAATAAATAAAACTTAAAGAAAACTAGAAAATCTTCTCTAAATTAGTACTTTCTAGTATTTTTTTAAAACTCTTTTGGGGTTAAATTTAAGGATCTCAATTGTTCTTCAGTGTATATTCATATTTCAAAATTTACAAGCATTTTTTTTCCAAAATATAAAATTAAGCTACATATTGAATATAATTTTTCTAATCTCATCAGTCTCCTGGAAAGTCAGAGACTTTTCTTCCTCCTTCTGTTCTCTCCAACCCCTACTGCTGTTTCTCCTTCCACCAAAAATCAATGCTCTATCAAATGGAAAATAAAAGTATTGCTATTCTTCAGCAGCCCTAGCTATGTAGTAATGAGAGATAATGAACATGATGACCGTTTTTAAAAAGTTAATTTATTTTTGGGGGTCTTGTTAAGAGATCAGGAAAGGGAAAAATGTCCCACTGCCACATTCAAGATACAGGTCTTATCTCCAAATTAGGTTAGTCCCCAGATTTTTAGATCAAAAGTGTTAATTCATTAACACACCTTTTAAATATAGCTTTAATTCTGACAGTCTTACCTCAGAAATACATTTATTTAATTCTGTCCAATGAGCTTTCTACCAATGCCATCTCTAAGCTGTTGATCACTGATATTCTAGCTACTGCCATTAAAACTGCTAGAGGGAAAAAATAGTGCCAGAACACTATTAACAAGGAACTGGTCTGGCTATTTAAAATCCAGGTGTCTGCCCTGACTTGTTTGGCTCAGTGGATAGAGTGTCGGCCTGGGAACTGAAGGGTCGCAGGTTCGATTCCGGTCAAGGGCATGTACCTTGGTTGCAGGCACATTCCCAGGAGGGGGTGTGCAAGAGGCAGCTGATCAATGTTTCTCTCTCATCGATGTTTCAAACTATCTCTCTCCCTTCCTCTCTGTAAAAAAATTATTAAAAAATAAATAATAAATAAATAAAAATAATAAAATAAAAATAAAATAAAATAAATATATCTATGTTGTTACCATTCATCAGGGGTGGGGAACCTTTTTTTCTGCCATGGCCATTTGGATATTTACAACATCATTCACTTAATATTATTCACTCAATATAAATTTATGTTGTTATGAAAAAAGCTCCTAGATTTATTGAATTTCATGTTCCACCTGCAGTGGCGTTGGCAGGGCCAAACCAAATTATTTCACTGGCCTTATATGGCCCACAGGCCAGATGTTTCTTACTCCTACCATACACCAACACATGTAATTCACAACTTTGTTCAAATACCAAGATAAATTAGTCATCTCTAGACTCAATTGCCAATAAAAATTCTAAAATTTATAAAATTGTGATTTTTTTTATAAATACCTATGCAAGTTACTATCTCTAAAACTTGTGGTGCTTCCAATTGAAGGAGATTTAATTGACTGTAGTTTTCTCATTTATATAGACTTGGTCTTTAAAAGAAGAGAAATTATAAATGTCTTCCATTTTCTTTTCCTAACATAGTAATAACAATAATACATGTTTAATTCTTTCTGGTTCCAAAGCATTATTCCATATGTTATCTTACCAAAAAGAGCCAAAAAAATCTAGAGCTGATTCAGTGAATAAAGGTGATCAGAGCAGCATTCAGGAATTACTCTGGGCTTTAGTCTTCTCCTGTGTAAATGAGAGAATTGTACTAAAGGATGTTTGAGGACCCTTCCAGGTCTAATTTCTCATTATCTTTAGTGAGGTTTGCTGATTCAGTCTACAAACTCAAAAAAAAAAAAGTTCTAAAATGTTTGGAAATGATACTAATCTTTAAGCAAAAACTACAGTCACTTCCCCAGAGTAACGCTCTTGTTTGAAAAAATGCAACACTTTGGTGTTGCTTAGATTCTTTTATGGCCCAACAGACTTTCAGATGCACTGCTGTATAGATCATACCTGGCCTGAAGTTTGTTTTTGTAAATAAAGTTTTATTGGAACACAACCCCACCCATTCATTCACATATTATCTCTGAAGCTTCTGCATAGCAGGGTTGAGTAAGTGCAAAAGAGACATAATGACCAGCAAGAACTAAAATATTTACTACCTGGTTTACTACAGAAAACGTGTGCCAACACTTGCTTTGTTATGAATATGTACATTTTTTCACAAAAATCTTGAGAGCAAAGATGAAGTTATTTCAAGTTTTTTATTAGGCAGTTTATAAATTATTAATACAAGTTAACTCAAATATTGATTTATATTTAATTCTGATTCTATGAAATCTAATTCACATGTCTTTTACAATTTTTTTATATGATGATATTTTGAAAAACATACAAATAAAACTGCCCAATTTATCTTTCCTGTCTGATTACAGTAGTCCTGGAAATCCTATACCAGTTGTAATATTTTGATTGATCAGGAGAGGGCGCATTGATTCAACACAGTTGTATAAACACACTGGTAGCTTGCTTCATTTAGCCTGGCAAAGGTCAAGCATTCTTGAAGGAAACTTAGAGGAATTACTAGTGAGTTAGTTTCTGTTGTGCTGGGGGTGAAAGGAACTAGAAAAACATAAGACTACTGGTCTGTTACCATGTAAGTGGCAGTAATGTTTCTTCCTGAGAAGAAAATTGTTCATTTACTCTTATCTTTTCTCATCTCAGCATTGGTTTGCAGGGGCCTTGAATATTTTTAACATGAGACAGTAACAATTTGGGTAGAGAACACAGGATTCCGCCCCTCCCCCCCCCCGCCCCCACCGCGATGATATAGCACCCGTTGTGATCGTGGCTGCGCCTCCCCCACCCTCGATCTCTTTGCATTGTTGCCTGCCTTTATGTACTGATGCCCTTAGTTTGAGAGAACCATTGTCCATTGTAAGAAAATATAAAAGAAGATCATTAGAAGTTCAGATTTCTGTAGTGGCTCTCTGGGTTTTTTGATCAACACAGAGGCTGTCTGAAAAGTGAAACATTTCCAAGGAGAATGTGCTGCCGGACTAAAGAATGCTGGGACCCTAAAAAGAGGCTGAAAAAACCCCACCTACCAGCAGGCTAGACAAAGGGTGCAGGTTGGGGCCTCTTCTTTGAAAGACCTGATTAATGTGAGGTCTTGTTACCTGCTTTATCACTGTTTTGTTATGAGTGAGAGGTTTCAGCATTCTTAATTTGTCTTGGGGATGGGAAAAGGGAAGGCAAACTTGCCTGATGGGGGTCTCAGGGTGAAGCAGATCCATTTGCCCTCAGTGAAAAATAACAGACACAAAAGAGGCAGGTTGTTCTACAAATTCATCCTGAATGTATTTTTTTAAAAAGCAGCCCAAAGGCACTCATCGTTTATCCACTGATCTTGAAGAATAAGATGTAGGCTCTGGTGATAGCTAAAAATAAAAGTTATCCATTACGCAAAGAAAAAATAGATTCAAAGGCCTGAATTGGGGGGAGGGGGGGTCCTGTTTTACTAAGCAGTGGGGAAAGTAATGAACACTTGAGAAAATATATTAATTTAGGTAATGATTTTGTGATTTCTGTTTCTGTAATCCTATTCTTTACTAGGTTATTCTAAAGCACATTTAGGTGAAAGGTCTCTTGGCATAATCTTCTCATAACATGTACAATTTTAAAATTAGCTTCAAAACACTTTTTCATCCCAACTCTAAAATTGGAATGTATAGAGCATTCTCTGAAGATTGGAATTTTTTAGACAAGAGACAGAAAGTGGGACTTTTGCAATGTTTTACCTCTGGCTCCCTGAAATACGGGTCTTAAGAAAATATTCCGAGACACATGCCACAGTTAATGATGACAAATGTCCAACGCATACTGTCAGGGGATAGTGGGGAAGGGATATAGAGAGAGGCTGATGTGGGTGCCTCCTTGTTTGCACACGAGGAAGGCTGAGCAGGCACCGAAGCCAGTGCTGTTCATGTGTCTAGGTAACCCATCACCCATTGCTGAGGCAGTTTTCAGAAAACTTGTAACTGATGAAAACGTTTCAGATAAGTGGAGGATAGACAGTGCAGCCACCTCCACGTGCGAAGTAGGAAACCCCCCTGATTATCGAGGGCAGAATCGCAGGAAGGAGCATGGTGTTGCCGTGAATCATGTTGCCCAGCAGGTTCCTGAAGAAGACTTGGTCACATTCGATTGTATGCTGTGTATGGATGAGAGCAGTCGGAGAGACTGGACTAGAAAAGGTCATCCAGTCAATCACAGCAGAGCTACAGCTGAACTGCTTGGGAGCTACGACCCTCGGAAACAGCTCATTGTTGAAGACCCTATTACGGGAATGAGTCCGACTTAGAGACCGTGTGCCAGCAGCATCCGAGGTGCTGCAGGGAGAAGGCCCACTGGTGCCCGCCCCAGTCCCAGCCAAGGTCACGTCCGTAGCTCAAGGCCAGTGCTGGTACTTGCGTCCACCTGCTGTTTCTTACAGTAAAAATAACTGGATGGAAATCAGTGGTGGTGTTTGGCCAAAGAATAAATAAATACCTTTGACTCAGACAGTTTATGGGGCACATGAAGTGTTCTTACGCCAGCGGGGCCTCCCGCTTTGCTCCAGTTTCAGACGAAATCGTAGAACAACCAAGTAGAACCTCATCCCTCTGTCAGCATGTGAGCCTCTTCCGTCACCTGCCCTCCCCCTTCCCCGAGTCCGGAGGAGCACCCTGTCCCCGGCACTCCCTTCCCTGGGCGATAGGAGCCCTCCCCTGGGGTTCGCACACCCGCGTGTTTGTGGGAAAGAGATTTATGGAGTAGCAATCCTTCCCAGTTCCTGTCTAGTTTGTAGCATAAGGGAGTCAGCTTATTTGTTCCGTTTGAGCCACAGTTATATCCAGAAAGGACACTTGTTAGCTGCTTTATCTGTGGTTGGTAAGAGTTGGAAAAATGTTATGTTGGAATGCTTAAGTATTGATGTGGTGATACGTATTCTTCAGTGCTTAATTTATAGGGAATTTCTGTGTTCTTTCAGATAACTAATATAAAATTCATATGGCTACATGTGAGAGAAGGCTTCAAAATAAATGGGAAATCATAAAAATACAAAGAAGAAAGAAAACAAATATTTAACAAAACCTGGTACTTGGTTTAGCTTGTCAAAGATACCAAGTGAAAGATATAATTGGGTTGTTAAGTGGAAAAGTACCACAAAATAAGTAAACAAATGAGACTTTCTAAATGTATGGTATCACCCTGGCCGGTTTGCCTCAGTGGATGGAGCGTCGGCCTGCGGACTGAAAAGTCCGGTGTTCGATTCTGGTCAAGGGCACATGCCTGGGTCGCAGGCTCAATCCCCACTAGGGGGCATGCAGGAGGCAGCAGATCCATGATTCTCTCTCATCAATGATGTTTCTCTCTCTCTCCCTCTCCCTCTCTGAAATCAATAAAAATATATTTAAAAATAAAATAAACGCGTGGTATCTGACCCAGATATTTATTCCACAAATTGTAGCTAGTAGTCATTATCATAATAAAGTACTTTTGGGGTTGATCGGATTCATTTTGTCTATCTTTCTATTAGCCTTTTGATCTCACATCTAATATAATTTGACCTATTCTTTTCCTCTAGTCTAGTATGGCTAGACTTTGATATAATGAAAGAAAAAAGTGATTAAAATACATATGCATATACATACATATATTCATTGATATTTACATACATACATATAACGTTTTGTTATAGAAGGTTAATTCTTGGTTGAATACATTAGCTTAGCGGTTGAATAATAAATAGTTTCAGCTTCTTTTTACATTATTTACTGTCTCTGAGAACTAAAAGAGTTACATGATTAGATTGCGTGCCCACTAGGTTGTAAGCTCATTACAAGATACAGGTCTTCCTGATTTTTATATTTCCCCTGCCCAGCACAGCCCCTCACATAGAAATCAGCGTTCAAAAAATGCTTACCAAGTTTTTTTATTGTACTGTTTCTATCAATTTTTAAAGAAGGTATAAATGAATTTCCACCCACCCAAAGTACACTAGTTCTCATACAACCTAGTAAGCATTTGCCACATCTATGGGAAGCATTAGTTCAAGCAAAGGAAACTGACCATTTAAATCTTGCAACAAGAATTATTGTCTCCTAAGGAATAGAATTCATCAGATCAAATAAAGTAAAAGTAAGTAAATGAACAAATACTTATTCTAATGAGAATATTTATTGGCCATGCCTGTTTGGCTTGAGTAGTTGGAAGCACCCTGACATGGGAGTAAGAGATATGGGTTTGAATTCTCACTACGCCTGACACTGGGCAAGAAAATTTCTTTGAGACTCAATTTCCTTGTCTGAAAATCAATGATAGTATCTCTCTAAATTTCCTGAGGCTCCTTGGAAATACCATGGCCTTTCTTCCTTCCGTGTGGAAGCCAGCCATCATTCAGGAGCATTTGTCACTGTGCCAAACTTCCAAGTCTTAAAAGTTAGAAATCATTACATGTGACAAAGACGTGCTCTTACAGCATTAGCTGACTCCTTTCAGCTTTTCTCAGAAGCCCCTACAACTGACCCAGAGAAGGCAAGCTTACCCCCAGTTTTTTTTTTATTTCATTAGTTGGCACGCACTTATTTGTGGCAGGGACTGTATGAAGCATTTTACTAACAACAACTGATTTAATCCTCTGAGTTTGAGGCCACCCTGTGAAATATGGCCTGTGGCCTTGTTCTACCTAATAATCTATTCTTCATTGTTAAATAAATCAGCTTTCATTACTAAAATAAACATTACGCAATGGCAGTAATAGTTCACAATGGGGAAAAGCCATAGGTGCACCATAGAGAATTTGATGGAGAATATACAAGAAAACCATTCGGAATTTTCTTTTAGGAGGAAAGAAAAGAAATATCTTCCCCTCAGCATAGCCGTGTGATTGTCAGAGGACGTTTCCTGTCAGCAAGGCCAGATCCCAGAGAAGAATCCAGATGTCTCTCTGCAAAACCAAATACCATTTGCATCCCTTTCATTTTTACTGGAGCTTTGAAGTAAATAGGGATAGAACCAGCCCCAGTAAATTACCTGAGGACTGAAACATTTTTGACATAAGTCTTAAGAACAGAGCAACATATTTCTTTTCCTCCTTCAGAAACTAGCTTTGTTTCATCTTAGAGCCCAGAATGACAGACAGAAATGATGACGGACTGATTGGACAGCCAGCCTCACCCCTCCTAATGCCAAATACAGACCCAAGTAGCCCAGGCTGCTGCTTCCCAGGGTCTTGAGCTCATATTTGCATATATATTTAATCACTTGGCTGCACTGGAACTGCTCTGTTAGAATATTTTAATATTAGAGTAACATGGTGATTGTGGCAGCAGGCTTGAGTAGGTACACCTCCCTGATTAGATGCCAGGCTCTACAACTTACCAGCTGTGTAAACCTAGAAGAGCTGCTTCACATCTCTTTACCTCAGTTTCCCTAGCTGTAACATAATTATAATAGAACCTATCCCATGGGGTGTGTAAAGATTAAATCAGTTAATGCACCTAAAACACGTAATGCAGTCCCTAATGCAGAGTAAGTACTCCACACATGATAGGTGTTCATATCACTGTTCTCCCAGGTTATTCACAGAAATTGAACTAAATGTTCATTGTTGAGTGGCACATGCACTATTTCCCAAATATGTTCTGAAGCCCACTGTTCCCTGAAGTTCAGCAAAAAGGAGTTTCCTTCTATAAATTATTTTGGAAAACACTGCATTTGCCTTGGAAACTCAAAACATTGAAACATACGAAAGACTTCGAGAGACCTATAATTAAGAAGTTTTCATTTTGTTTACCCTTAGGAATTTCACATATATAAGAACACTTAACCCTTTAGTTTCAAATTCACTTTTAATTTTTGTCAGTTCATCTTTGCACTCTGTTTTTCCTAAAATTCAACCATTGCATTTCTCTTTAACATACATGGACCATCGAACAATTTCAAAGGTGCTTAGCTTATAAGCACATAGTATAGTAGGTCTTCACAGATATAATTAAGTGAAGGCTCCTGAGATGAAGAGATCATCCTGGATTATCTGGCTGGGGGTCCTGAATCCAATGACAACTGTCCTTGAAAGAAAAAAGTAGAGGGAGAGGCAATGTGACCACAGAAGCAGAGACGAGAGGGATGTGGCCACAAGCCAAGAAATGCTGGCAGCCACCAGAAACTGGAAGAAGTGAAGAATGAATTCTCTCCTAGAGCCTCCAGAAGGAATGCAGCCCTGTGACACCTTGATTTCACACTTCTAGTTCCCAAAACTGTGAGAGAACACATTTTTTATCGTTTTAAGGCACTAAATTTATGGTCATTTGCTGTGGCAGCCCTAAAGAACTAATATACCCAGTCTTACCACTTACAAAATGGGGTTGATAAAAGCCCATTCTGGCCTGCCATTGTCAAAATAGTGCTGCAAGGATCAAATAAAATAATATATGTGAAATGAACAAAATAGACCCAGAGACATAGAAGCATGGAACAGACTGTCAAATCTTAGAGGGAAGGCAGGGATGAATGGGTGGGAAGGAAGAGATCAACCAAAGAACTTGTATGCTTATATGCAAAACCCATGGACACAGACAGTAGGGTGGTGAAGGCCTGGGGCGGCGAGGGGGCGAGGGGGGGGGAGTGGTGAGGAGAGGGGGAACTGGGATAGAAGGGGTCAGTGAGGGAAAAGGGACATGTGTAATACTCTCAACAATGAAGATTTTTTAAAATAATAACAATGTATGTGAAAATACTCCCACTATTTACAGTACTTATACAGACATAATATTATTTTTACCATTATTATATGTAATATTTGAATCATCTTTTCTTCAATTGAAACAACGACTCCAACTTTTGTTGGCTTGGTAACTTATCTGTTTTACCTTATTCGTTTCGTTTTGTCCTGTTTTGTTTGATGAGAACTAGACACCGGACCCTCTTCTCCTCCCATTCCATCCCCAGTATGGCAAATACTGAACCTCTCAGGGACACCTGAGTCCTCTTTGTCATTCACTTCCTGCCTGCAGAGGACCTAGTCACAGAACTGGTCTGAAAAAGAAGTTTTACTTCCAAAACAAATCAAAGCTTGAATCGGTATAGTACATATTTGAATTGAAACAAATCCATTGAGATAATGGAGAAAATATTATGATAAATTAAGAATAGTTTACCTGCGTTGCAATGAAATAGCTCAGAAATATTTAGCATTATATTTCTATTTCAATATAAGATGTACTGGACCGATATTAAGGACACCTGCCTCTTTGGGCTCTGAAAATAAATATGTTCGCTTTTCTCTAACTTTTCCCTGAGAATCATAAGAGCTCAGAC